TGGCTGTTCACACGATGAACCCCGACCTGGGCCTAACTGGGAGAGAGTGTGACCCGACGTTAAATGCAACTTGCGAACGTGAAATTCTCGCACGAGACTTCGCTTTTGGAATATGGGGAATTTTTTTTATTTTTTTTTTCCCCAGGACGGGATACGACTAGCGTAGGCCAACTTATGAAGAGCAAGTCCTGATAAGAAGCAGGATTTCCCGAACCAGGTCTGTCCGCATGGACGGAAATTGAAACGAAATTCCATTTTGAATGCTCATTTCCTCGTTCTCTGGTCTAACGTTAGATCTTCGTGGTGCAGTTGCCCTCGTTCCGTTTCGTTGTTCGTGTTTCGTGTCGACTGGCTTCGATGACCCGAAGCGATGTGGCCGAGAAGTGCAAAAGCCTAGTTAGTAGCAGTAACTATAACACTGAGGGTGACCGCGCAGTTGATCTATCCTCTTTACCTTTATTATTTTAGAAACCGTTCCCAGCTACTGGAGAGATCAGTTTTTTCTCTACGGAGGCACTTGCCCCACACCCCCACCAATTCGTTACAGCTTCATGCACGTACATTTCAAGGGTGAATTTTTTTTTTAAAGTGTATTCTCAAGTTCGAGGAGACTATGTGAATGAGACGAGGCTTCAGCCAGGGCTGGGAGGCGTGTGAGGCATTGCAAGACCTGCAACGTTTCTCTCGTGAGGCCTGGCGTTGTCATGCTGCAGAATAACAGCGTTTAGCGTCGCGTGTGTGCAGTCGAGAGCAGCGAAGCGTCGTCGTGCTGCAGAAAGACGACGTTTGACCTCTCTCAGCTGCACACACGAGAAGAACGTTGGAAGCCTCATGATAGGAGTTTCGGTCTCGCCGCCTTCCAACCTCGACTTTGTCCCGTGCCATTCCTGTTGGCTACTCCTGATGAAGAAAGCACCACAAGGCAGTCGTTACAAACTTGAAACCGAGTTGCATGGTGCTGCAAAGCATTGGTTTTGACGNGGACATCTCTGGGATGTGCTATTTCTTCAAGAAAGGGATATCCTTGGGATGTCATTGGGCCCAGACATTTTGATATCCCTAAGATGTCCCTACTCCTTGTCTCAGGGACATCGCACTTGTCCCAAGGGGATATCTCTGGGATATCTTTGGGATATACCTGTGCTGTGTGGGATGTCACAGGATGAGATATCTCAGTTATTTGAGCTTTATAGCTTTTGAGCTTCTTACAGAATAAGCGAGATGGCTGGTATGTAGCCACTATTGCAACAAAAAGCTTCCAACAGTTGCTGCAAAATGGCGACTATGCAGCCCCTGCTTCAGTGGGATCAGGGATTGATTCATTAGTTTAAGACCCTGGTACTTTTCTTGCGGTAGTCGATCCATTTCTCGAGTTTCTCAGTTCATTTATTTAAACAGGTTAAGGAGTCCAAAAAGGAACTCGTGCTAATCGTGGAGGAAGCATGATTCAAATTGGGTCTTCATTTATGGGGAGGATATAAATGATTATTTTTTTCCCTTGTGGAGGCTGCGTTTCGTTTCGTTCCCTTCGGGGAGGTTCGGGTGTGATTAAAGATACGATCACCCAAGTCTTGCTGGACCAGCACCATAGCGGATGAAGGGACTAATGCAGGGGTCGGAATCCTTTTTGGCCGTGTGAGCCATATTGAGATTGAGCTAAGCGATAGTGAGCGAAAGATTGTCCGAAAAACAAAATGTTTCCTGAAGTTGGTAACAGACGTATGCATTCTTTGATGCATGAGAAAAATGAGGAACGACCATGATTTGCAGTCATGACTCAATGAGCCAAATTTTTGGCTCATGAGCCATAGGTTCCCGACCCCTCCGAATGGGTGATTAATACAATCTCAATGGAAACCTCCTTGAACCCCCTGAATGTCATGACGCACGTCGGCATTTCACGTTGGCCCGACGTGGGGCCGCGGGACAAGCCTACGTTGGGCTCTCATCGCAAATGTGGAATTCCATTTTAGGAAATGGAGAAGAGAGGGAAAACCAGCGACTGCTCCTGTTGCGAGACTCCATTTATGGAGATACCTTGTTCAGTTTTTCTGGGTTTGTCTCGAAGGCTGTCTGATTTCTCTGACTAGGTCGACCATGAAAAAAAAAACTGTGGCGTACGCTCGAAATATAGGCTTTCGTTCGAGATGATCTTAAAGGATCAGAAGTTGTCGATCCCAGCTTCCATCGTTTCCGAGAAATAGTCTTCCCTCATCGCGCTCCTTGGGAGATTGGAAGAGAACTCAGTCGCGTGATTTCGTCGAAAGTGGCAGTGGATGTATTCACGCCTCGAAGTTCCGAAGGAGAATCTCCGCCTCCAGAAGCCTGCAGAACAGCCCGGATCGGAGGCCTTGTATTACATCGCACTCTTTCCCTCTCCTGCCTGCAGCCACGAGGCAAGGAGGTGTCTCCAGTCGTCCATCCACGTAACCTACATGGCTTTTCTCCCGTCATTCCAATTTTTGGTGTCGTTTTCGGTGCCACATGCTATCCCATGATGAAGCCGTAGGCCTGAGGACCCCGTCCACACGAAGACTTCCTCCGTGAGTTCGTTCCGTGGTATTCGTTCACGAGGATCTAGGGCCAAGCCCTCGGTAGGTAGCCAAAGAAACCGAGAACGTTACAATTCTACAACGGCAACACCCCCTGTTGCTCCATCCGGCTCACGAGCTAATGAGCACTTCGCAGTAAACCATTGCAATCGCATTGACACCGACAAGTGTGCTACTTGGGGCTGGACCCGGATTGACCCTCTCTCACACTGGGCTGCAATTTACGTTGAACGCTTGCACTTTAAGAGCGTGCTCTGAAGCGAAAACCTTATACCCCTTAAAAAAAAATTTTTTTTCCCCAGGACGGGATACGACTAGCGTAGGCCAACTTATGAAGAGCAAGTCCTGACAAGAAGCAGGATTTCCCGAACCAGGTCTGTCCGCATGGACGGAAATTGAAACGAAATTCCATTTTGAATGCTCATTTCCTCGTTCTCTGGTCTAACGTTAGATCTTCTTGGTGCAGTTGCCCTCGTTCCGTTTCGTTGTTCGTGTTTCGTGTCGACTGGCTTCGATGACCCGATGCGATGTGGCCGAGAAGTGCAAAAGCCTAGTTAGTAGCAGTAACTATAACACTGAAGGTGACCGCGCAGTTGATCTATCCTCTATTACTCTTTACCTTTGTTATTTTAGAAACCGTTCCCAGCTACTGGAGAGATCAGTTTTTTTCTCTACGGAGGCACTTGCCCCACACCCCCACCAATTCGTTACAGCTTCATGCACGTACATTTCAAGGGTTAATTTTTTTTTTTAAAGTGTATTCTCAAGTTCGAGGAGACTATGTGAATGAGACGAGGCTTCAGCCAGGGCTGGGAGGCATGTGAGGCATTGCAAGACCTGCAACGTTTCTCTCGTGAGGCCTGGCGTTGTCATGCTGCAGAATAACAGCGTTTTGCGTCGCGTGTGTGCAGTCGAGAGCAGCGAAGCGTCGTCGTGCTGCAGAAAGACGACGTTTGACCTCTCTCAGCTGCACACACGAGAAGAACGTTGGAAGCCTCATGATAGGAGTTTCGGTCTCGCCGCCTTCCAACCTCGACTTTGTCCCGTGCCATTCCTGTTGGCTACTCCTGATGAAGAAAGCACCACAAGGCAGTCGTTACAAACTTGAAACCGAGTTGCATGGTGCTGCAAAGCATTGGTTTTGACGGAAACCACAGTTTCTTCTGGGAAACATTACCGAAATTTTAGGTTCTTTGGGATTGACAATGGAGTTGACATTTAGAATTTGGATAAGGTATGAAACGAAGAGGTCTCGGGATCGGACATTAGGGTTGCAGTGAACTCGTTAACTCGTAGGTTTTAGAGGTCAATGGAGTTATTATTATTTTTTTTTTTTGGGGGGGGGGGGGAAGGAAAGAGGCAGGAGGAGGAATGGAATGATTAGGAGGTGGACGAGAAGGAGTAGCAGAAAGAGGAATGCAAATGAAGATGGAGGTGGAGGGAGAAGAGGGACATGGACCTGATGAAGGAGCAGAAGGGTAAGTGGAGCAAGAGCAAGAGGAATTGTGTGGAATGTATAGAGATGCACAGGGCCAGAAGCTCTACAGAATCTTGCATATTTGCAACATGCGATGAGGGACTTGCAGCTGCAGCTACAGAATTCTAGTTAGAAGGTTTCAGTGGCTCATGGAATGCCAGCAGGTTTTACTTCCAGCTGTGCAATATATGGAACATTGGAGAAGGTGGATATTATTTATGATACAAAGGGAAGTCGCCAAAAAGAAACACTAATGACCTTAAAGCAGAGAAACTTTAAGCAAGTCAATCACATTGCATTAATTGCATTAATTAACCAAAGCTCCCTCAGTAGTGCAACTTTTTTCCATAGGCTGGGCAAATTTGTGAAAGTTGTCCTTGAAGGAACTCCTGGATGCTGTTGGCACTAATTCTTCACAGCATCATGTGCATGCATTTCATGTCTGTAATTCTCTCCACGTGTTTCCTCAAGTTTGAGGAGATGCATATAATGAGGGGCTCTGCTGGGGCTTGGTGGTGGGTGGGGCATTCCAATTGTGTAAAGTTTTTTTCTTGAAGTTTTTGTGTTATTTGTGCTTGTTTTCACTGAAAGACCGGATTAATGTAAAAACCATATAACTGATCATTATTTCCAACTTGGGCTGAAATCATTGTACCTGAATTTCTTATATCAAGTCTTTCCATGAGAGAAATTCATTGATACTAAAATGTCAATACTCCAGTGCAGGATTTCCTTGTGATGAACTTCATGAAATAAGAGTGAATGGCCAAATTTTCTTTATTTCAGATCTTCTGTTCATTGGGACAATTCAGTGCTTTCTTGAAAGGACTTCCCCCTGAACTCAACTGCTTCACATTGATTCTCAATCTGGTCAGCTAAAGCTTTCTTTCCATGGAAGACTGAAGTTTTGCAAAGGTACAGCTTGTGATGACATCACACTGAATTTTAAGTGGGAAGTATCTCAGATTAATTTATTGTAAGCATATTGCTCATTGAATTGTTTATTCCCATTTTTTGTATTCTTGTTATATTATTCATAATCATCTTATGACAGGGGAATCACCAATGATAAGCACCTTTACTAATAAAACTTCTCTTGCAGCTATATACTGTATCTTGAGAATTGGGTTTTATCATCATGGTCACTTGATTATCTGTTGTCTTTTCCTCTCCCCATTCCATTGGTTGCTGTTTAGATTTATTCATTGTTCATGCTGTGTTGACTTTCTATTTCATATTTATTTTAAATTCTTTTTTAAACTTTCACGACATGTTGGTGGTATTATTAAATTATTTTGGTGCTAGCTGTTTTGTGACAGGTGCCTGAACCAAACAATTCACCTAAAAACACATAATATATACACGGTTAACCCAAAGGAATAGAGTAATGGTTAATTAGGGTAGGAGGTTATTGTATTTAATGACAATAAAATAAAAAAAACTACGTAGTACTTCCTCCATGCATGTATGTTTGTCTTCATTGTAAGTTGAATATACACTTTTGCTTATTGTAAACTGTCCATTTTTTGGAAATCAATCCTACACCTCTTTTACTTCTGAATTTTTGCTGTGATGGTTCTTGTTGGAATGTCGATTTTGTAACCATGTTTTTGATTTGAATATACACTTTTGCTTATTGTAAACTGTCCATTTTTTGGAAATCAATCCTACACCTCTTTTACTTCTGAATTTTTGCTGTGATGGTTCTTGTTGGAATGTCGATTTTGTAACCATGTTTTTTATTTTTTGATGCTAAAGGTATTTTTGCTGTTTTTCTTCAGTAGCATGAGCATGGATCATTGAGAGGGATCCTACCATCTGTCTGTGACCCAAAGCAGTCTTCTGGATGTTACTTCTCAAACCTCCCATATTCTCCCCAACTGTTGTCTCCTCGTAGCAATGTCTACCTTCATGAGTTGAATATCCTTTTTCCTTTGAGTTTATGAGGAGTGTACCGAAAGTAAGGAGCCCTAATTTATTTGCGAAGAATTACTATTTGGACAAACGTAAAGTTTTATTCACAAACAATGAGCTATGTTTCCATTACTACATAAGGAATTTCATTGTTTATGCCCATGTTGCAGCACAGTAGCCATTTATAATGTCACCTACTATGGATGGTGTATTGAAGGAAAATGCTTTGTTGGAGCTCTTCAGCAAAGAATTTGTAACCCCTCAAAAAATTCACATGCTACTGCAGAATGTGCATGGTGAGTCTAGCAACAGTTAGGCAAGTGTGAAACTGTGGGTTCTGTATTTCAAAAGTGAAAACAACATCAAAGACAACCCACATTCAGGCAGGCCATCCAGTGCTGTGACAATTGACAGCAAAATGGGTGTTACGCGATGCCCTGCCTCCTTGAATGTTACCTTACGATCATTTATCGGGTAGCAGTCCGACTGATCATTTTGGATCAGTCCTTCCCCAAGTGTTTTGCTATCAGGTCAGGTAGGTGCCATTTTCAGTGGCTACTGTGCTGCCACCTGGAGATTAAAAATGCAATTCCTTGTCAATCATTAGCATAAACATAATATTTTGTGTGACTAAAATCTCAGACTTGTCTGAATAGTGGTTCTCCTCAAATAAATTAGGGCTCATTACTTTTGGTACACCCCTTGTATTTTACTTGTGTCTTGCTTCCTCCATGTTTGGGGTGACTGATGCAGATCTTTAAGTATCTCTCCATGTTTGGCCATGTTTCATTTCTCTTGCATATCTCAGGTTTCTTATCATATGCTTGCGTATTTAATGAAACCCTTTTTTTTTTCTTTTAATCTCATGAAGTATTTGGATAGTGCATTTTCCTTCTGTGGACTTTATTTAGTCAGTACAAGGAGATCGTAAAGTCAGGAAAACCAAAGAAATACACTTTTGGTCAATACTATACAGGATAGACCCTTCCTACATTGCACAATTATAGTTCAACATTTGTACAATATATGCAGGAGAATGTTTACTCAGTACACAAGTGTCAAGCCAGAATTTCGCTTAGTCATTCAATTTCAAGTGTGGCATTCACTTTGGAGCAGTGTGTTTTCATTGTTGAGACTTATCTGAATCAAAAATCTTACAAACTCTGTCAGGAAGCCTTTCAAAAGAAGTTCAACATCCGTGTGGTGCCAACTAAGTTTGCAATCTGGTGTAAGAGGTACTCTTAATAAGGATGCTTAAATCATGTTGGACAGTACGCATGCTCGATACGATGTAACATAAGTCCCGTGTGCTCAGAGAGTGGTGTGTAGAGAGTAGCAGCAGCGCAGTTGTCGGGATGAGAGTCGAGAGTGTGTGGTATCGTGAGGACAGTTGAAGACTATTGTAAAGACGCAGGACATGTGTTGAACCCTGATCGGGTCAGGTTTGAGTGTTGGAAGTCGCTCACTAACATCCATTCAGGTATTGACCCTTTTGTATGCCTTGTCCATCAATCACCTGATGCAATAGATTCCAACACGGTTCCAAATATCCCTATTCTAATCCCTACTGCTATTGATCTCACCCAATACTGGTTATCACAGTAAATGTACTGTGTTACAAACGAGGAGTCAACGGAGTCATTGTAACCTCGGACACGCTGGTGGTCTGTTTGTGAGTCATCAATGTCAATTCACGTCAGAGCCGCCTACACTGGAAGCTGGTGAAGTGATTCCATGCCACAGGAAGCATTCTTGAAAGACCTCACAGCAGGAGACCAGATTAATTGGATGAAATTGTGGAAGGCATCTGGAGCAGACTTGAACAGAGCCCTTCAAAGTTACTGTGACATGTTTGAGCTGTGTTCAAGGAACAAGTGATCTCAAAGGGACTTTGGCCCCTCAGGTCTTACCTCACCCAATTATTTCTTATGGGGATATGTGAAGGAGCGAGCCTACAAAACAATCCCCATTCAGTTCAAGAATTGAAGGAGTGATTATGGGCAGGGTTCCTATTGACATGTTGGAACGTGTGGCTGGAAATATGTGTAGTGGAGAGCAGCTGTCTAGATGTTCAAGGGGGACACTTTCAGCATATCATATGATTTCGCATGAACACACTCATGTTGAACTAGACTTGCACTGAGTCTGGATAATTTTTGTTGCTTCGTATGGGCATCGCTAATAAATGTTTGGGTTTCCTGACTTTACGATCACCCTATGTATTCTTGAATACATTAATTGCGCTTTTCCTTAGTATTCTGAAGTGGCTGAGGCAATTTCCTAAATACCATCATGGAATGGTTATGGTTTTATTTATGGGTGTATGTGCATATAAAAATGTAATTTGCAAAGATATGTCATGATTTCTTTCAGCATTGCATCACTGTCCCCCTTTTTACATAGAAAATCCAATATCTTAATATATTGTAAATTTGCATTTAAAAAAATCAATCTTGTAATCTCTTCTTTCAATGGAGTGGTAGGTGGTGGCTCTTGTGATGAATCGATGTGATTGCACTCTATAGCATCCTCAAATGAGACCCTGTTCTTCCACTTTCTTTTCAGGTTTTGCATCTCCTTTTAAAATTGAATTTGATGTCTTTTTAGCATTTTTATGTCATTTATACCAAGAGCTGCACCATTTAAGTCCATTTTTTATGTCATGCAGTGTGTGATTTGTTTATTGTGCATGGTTGGAAAGCAGGACAAATGTAATGAGTTAAGCCAGACAAAACCTTGGATTTCATTACCTTTTTCTGTATTTCCCTTCTTTGCAATCACCAGATATTGATAGAATTCTTTTCTGTAAAAAGTGAAGAGGGAATTTGGACCAATTACAATGAATGATTAGGGCTGGAATCCTTGTACTGGGGAGGGTAATTAAAGTATGTATAACTACAGATTTCCTTCCTCATTCCAATATGTTCTAAGAATGGGATTCCTCCATGGAAGAGGCTGGCTTATTCAAAGCTTCAGTTATGGGGGGACAAAGTTATTGGGGTCCTGTGGGGTGTATTTTCAGACTTAGTGTGATTCTGTCCACATTTGCTTCACACAGATTTTTTCAGTGCAAAAAAGGCAATTAAATGGGTTGTTCAACCTATAGGTGCTCTAGGAAATAAGGTGTTGAAGTAATTGGAAGCAGTGAGTCTCAAGTAGGGCAGGTGAATTTGTATTGAATATATACTAACCGAGTATTGGGGGTGAATCATTTTTTTTATTTTTTATTTTTTAAAGGGTTTCCTAAGAGGGAAGTTGGAGATTCTTAGTTTGAAGCTTTCCTCGTATTACTGCCTTAAGAGATGTTCAGAGAAGCATAGATAGTCCATCTCTAGGAAGGAATGACCTTGGATCAAAAGAACAGAAAGTGATAATCACAGCCAAGGAGAATTAGGTTGGAGACAGTTTTGAAAAAGAAGCTGTCACAAATAAAGGGGAAAAGAGAATCATAGAAGGAAATTTTAAAGGTATTCAGATGGATTGTTATATCATTGGGATATGCAGTCATATTGGGATTCTGTTTAGCTCACTTTTCTTTTAATTATGTGATCGCTGGAGTGAAAATTGACCTGAACCTAAGAAATTGAAAATTGGCAGGTATGGAATGGGGAGAAGTGAGGATGGAGAGAGCACAGAAAAGAAAATTGTAAAGCAGTCCTTACCTGTTTCCTTACTTATAAGAAGTATAGCTGGTACATTAGTTATAGCATTTAAGTGAAAAGTTTGGGGGTGATGTTCATGTAGTTAAATGCAGTTTCACCAAAGAGGGCAGTGTGATCTTCAATTGGAATTTGAGGGAAGGTGTAAGAATGGTTTACTGTATTGATTCATTTAGAATTTTTCAAATAGGAAGGAATGTGGCAGAAGGTTGTGGGGGGGGGGGGGTGCTGAGTTATGGTGTTGACTCCACATGTGGGGTGTGGAGCTGAGATTCATACTTCCCCCTGCTTGATGCTGCTGAAGGTGGATTAACATCAGTTTTTCTGGAAGAGGAGATAGTAAGAAAGACGGTTTGGGGATGAAGGTCACAATGTTATCACTGCTTCCATGGTTTACTCCCATTGCAAATTAGAAGGTTTCCAGATGAACCTTTTGTTATGATTGTGAGGTCTGGTATTGTCATGCTGCAGAGTGCCGATGCTAAAACTCACACTTCCTTTACAATGATCAATTTTTTCCATGGAATCATGAAATACTATTCATACTTAAAAGTGAAAGTTACCATTCAGATTGCACATTAATTCTGTGCAACCTACAGGTTAGCACCCATCAAGAGATTTAAGAAAACCCTGGGCTTCAGTTAGCTTTACATCAGGGGTGTCAAACTCAAATCGGACAATAGACCACATTCCTTACCCTGCAGATGCATGCAGGCCACACCCATAGTTTTTCACAGAAATTTGTCCTAGCAGTCGATCCAAGCGGAAATTTCAAGAACACATGGCAGGTGAACCACCACTGCAGGCTGTATGTTTGGCAATCCTTCTTTACATGGACTAAATGTCTTGTCGAAGGGTAGTCCTTGGACTTGTGCTTAGGATGGCCTATCTTGTCAGGGACAGGGGCCTGCACAGTGGTGAGAAGTCATTCACTGTAAATGCTTATTATTAAAAGGAAGGTTTTCTGTTTCAGGCTTCCAATGCAACCCATCCTCCAAACATTTTAAGTCACTTTTATTTACTGATCATGGTTTTATACCATTTTATGCATATCTTTCTTGTATATGTGTAATACATCCACTTTGGTTAATGAGCTTGTGTTCTTGATTACCTGACACTATCTTTCTGTTTTCAGGCTACCAATCTCATCCCATTTCCCCTCCTATTTCTGTGTTGAATAACTACACTGTTTGAATCAGTGATAATAGTGCAAGACCCAATTGATGCTTATTTTTGCATGGGTGCCCTGAGTGTAGAGACACCCTTGTGAATCTGAGTGATTCTCTCAATCCCTGTTGCCCAGAAGGCAGGTTAGATACCAGTGCCAAATACTAGTAGAAATATGTTTATATCGCATCATACAAAATTGTTGTTTTTTCTGGCAATATTAATAACCTAGGATGTCTAATGCGAAACTGTTGAACCATGTCACTCTGGGGGTGATGCTTTGTCTGGTTATCTCATTTGGATGCCTTGCATGATAAGGCATTTAATGATTTGTTGATCGACTGATGATAATTAAATAATTATTTAATGCATAAGCTTGCCTAATATTTCAATCGATGCACTTAAAATGTCAGCGTTTCAACTGCACTTTCTCATGTGGTTTGTTGATGGAAGTTAATGTCCTGAAACCCTGAAATTATAAGGTGCAAGTCAGGGATGCCAAACCACTTCATTTGAAGATAGTTTTAAAATATTTTTCCTCTGAATGGATGGCTAATCTTTCCATGTCCTTGTGTTCCCATCTCAGGGAGGAATGCAGCCAAACTCGTTGATGGTATGCGTCTACCACCTCTTTCGTTCCTGTCCCCCAAAAGGTTCGAAGTCCTTGCCTATGACATGGATGAACCTCTCTCCACCAAAGTTTTCCCACGGTCTGATGAAATCAGCTCACTTTTTACCTACCCTGCTGAAGTTAGGCCCATTTCCAACCAATCCCTGAAGATTCAATTCAGTCTTCATCCCAATTCGGACTCAAAATCCAAAATCCTGCTCTCAGCTGATTCCCATGGACGTCTCCTTGTTGGAGATCTGCAGTCCCAACTTCCAAAGTGCATTGTTTCATCTATATTCAAGCCCAGTGCTACCCTCTCCTCGGTCTTATCCTGTGCCCCTTCGCTTGTCTCTAGCCAACATTGTGGTACCATAGTGGTGATTGGTGGCACATTTGATATTGCTCAATATCACAATCCCAGAGAAAATAATCCAGATGGGACATTTGAAGGGCTATATGAAGGAGATCTTTAAAGAGAAACTTGGAATGATTCTTGACCTAAAGGATGCAGTGACACACATCATTTCAGGTATTACACATGAAACTCATCAGGCGGTAGCTGAAAACTTCGCCATCAGAGTTCGCTCTTGTCTACAAAATGGAGGACAATTTGAACACCCATTAAAAGCATATGGAACTTGAGTTTTCTAATCATTTAGAAGCATTTAGAAGCATTCTTATTTTTATCTTCATTAGATACAAAATGGCACATGATCAAAACTTGTAACATTTTTTTGGTCCACCCTGTACAAATCAGCTGTTGTGCAATCAAAAAGGTTACCCTATGTGCAATTTATTGTCCTCCTAATGCTCACACCCAATTTTTCTCAGCAATGCACACTCTTGTTGAGTCAATCCCATCCCATGACTACATCCTACTGGGTGATATAAACTGTAACCTATTGGATATTACCACCCCAGGGTTCAGACTCCTGTCTTGACATGTACAAGGCCCTAAATCTTAAACAGCTCATACATTTACCCACATGAATGATTGGAAAAACTACAACCCTCATTGACCATATTTACACTAACTGCCTATCCAGAATAAATCAACATGGTATCTTGACATGTGCAAGGCCCTAAATCTTAAGCAGCTCATACATTTACCCACATGAATGATTGGAAAAACTACAACCCTCATTGACCATATTTACACTAACTGCCTATCCAGAATAAATCAACATGGTACCATCCCTTCCTCTATCAGTGACCACTTCACAATCATTGTCTCTCTTACTCTTAGTAACATACAAACCTGCCACCATAAAAAAATTCCTATCTGCTGCCAGCTCAATATCCCAAACTACCTACAGACATTATGATATTGACCCCTCAAAGATTATTGAAAATGTGCAAAATTGCTATTGGGAATCTCTCCACCACTCTTCAGACCCTAATGAACCAGCTGAAAAAATCAACACTAATCCTTTTTCCCTCATCCTTAAAAAGCACCACTCCCTAACATACATTCTTAAGATGTAACTTAAACCAAAAACCATTCATCACAAAATGCATCCTCCAATTAATTAAGGAATGAATTTACTTCTGCAAACTTGCAGTTATAACTGGTACTCCACACTACTGGAATATATATTTAAATACTATTGTGCTTCAGTCAGGAAAAAGACATTAAGCAAGGAAAATACTCCTACTATCAAAATTTAATCAAGAAAAAGGGAAACAACACTTGCCAATTATGGACTAGCCTTACATTTCCCATGGGCCTCACTAAACCAGCGTTACCACTTCCCCCCCCCCCCCGTCTTCTAAGGAGCTCAATTTCTAACTTAATCAAGCAGCCTTTAATCTCATAAAGCACCTCTCCAACATCTCCTCATCCTATTCTGACCCTCCCTTTTAGCCAACTTTGACATTCCTCCCATCTCTGAAGATGAAACTCTGGCTTACATCCTTAAATTACCTTGTAAATCCTCTTGTGGACTTGATAGTATCACTCCCATAGCTCTAAAGTATTCCAGCAATGCTTGGACTTTGTCAACTACTTACTCTTCTCTTCAATACCATACTGTCCTCTATCCATCCCACATGTTTCAAAATATCAAAAGTAAACCCCTCCATAAGAAAGGTGACCTACATTACCCTTCCAACTACTGTCTCATATCCCTACTATCAGCCATGAGCAAAATCCTCAAGAGCCATATATTCAATCACCTTCACTGATACCTCCAAGATACCAACATCCTCTCCCCCCACCACTCAGGTTTTAGAAAGTATCACTCAACATCTACCATACTTCGAAATTGCATCCCTGTGTCAAAAAATTCTAAATACACCTTCCTCACCCCATGTTCAAGTTTTCACAGCTCCCACTCACCAACACAATACATGTTTTGCCAATGATAAAACAGTATGTATTCTCTCTGGTAGAACTATTTCCTTTCATCTGTCTTTCCACTATAGAGCAACAAAATTCTCAAACTCACCCCCTGTTAACATTTTCACCATTCCTGTTCATAAGAAATTCAAAAACAGCCTAAATATGTACCTAAAAACCACGCATGAGATCTTATAGTCACATATTTATATACACTGTGGTTAATTCCCATAATGAGATTCCCCTTGCATCTGTGGCTCTCTTCCCAGGGACAACCAACCTCCTGGTTGATTCCTTTGTATATGCTGTCTATTTGTTGTCTAAGAACTTTCCATCCCAATGAAGAACATTATTATTATGTTGGACATTCACTTCGAATGCTGACAAAAAAAGAGTGAAGGGGGGTGAACAACACCCCAATCATAACACTTGTTTATTTCTGAAGGATACGATAGAGGATGTTTGCTGTGCCCAAGATGGCTGTATGCTGGAGGATGTCTTGGGATATGTAGCATCCCAGCTTTTGCACATGGTTCATATGGTCTTTCAGGACCATGCCGGTTGTCTCGATGACAATGATAATGGTCTTCGTATCACATAAACACTCCACTTCCACTTGAAGTTTTGAGTATTTGTCCAACTTCTCCCTGGTCTTGACTTGGAGGCTGGTGTCAGCCAGTATGCTCACATCAACGAATAGGTCAGTGTTCTTCTCCTTGTCGTAGAACGTGAGGTCAGACCCGTTGCAGATGATGGTGCGGCCTGTTATCATAGGCTGAAAAGCGTGAGGGTGTGGTGAGGAGACCATTTAGGGGCATGATGTTTTCTTCCTGTGAGGAGTGAAAATAGTTAAAAACCAGCAATCCCATGTGTGAGTGTTTGGGCACTCGTGTATGGAGGTGTGATGTGTGTACTGAATGTGTAGAGTTGAAATGTATATTGAGAAAGCTTTTGTTTCTGTATATGTTAAAGGAAGCAATCATGTATCTCAGTTTCTCTAAATTCAGCACCATTTTTCTGGTAGCCATCCTTGAGTGTGATTGGAAAAATCTTCATGATTGTGCTTGGTCTAGTTCTTGTGTTAAAAAAATGGTTGGCTTAATCTGCATATAATTTTATGGTGCATGGTTTTGGGGCTTTACACTTGTCACTTTATATTGTTCTGGTATAATGTGATGGGGAAGATTAATGATGACACTGCAATGTGTGCAATCTTAAACACCCTGGTTGAGGTTAACGTGCAAGTTGAGAAGGATTTATGATTCTGGGTAAATGAAAAATTTAGCTTAAGGTTTGATCCGAAATGACTACTGACAGAAGTCGTAGTTTGCAGGGTTTGAGATCACCTTTTTAAAATCATATGACTAAAGCTGCACTTCGTTCAGTGATTCCCAATCTTTTTTTTTATTTGTGGCACACATAAGAACACTTGAACTTTCCACGGCACACCCATCCATTTACTTCCTTTTGATGGGAAACTTGTGCTTGCTTCGCTGAACACAGCAGTTTGATACGAGGCGTGGTAGTGCAACTCTCAGCTCATTTTCCACTTAGAGATGGTGTTCCCGCTTGTTTTTAAGTTTTTTTAGTCATAGTTTTTTTGTTTCTTTGGCAACTCTCAAATCTCACGGCACACTTAAGCCTTACTGGCGGCACACCATTGTGCCGTGGTACACCGTTTGGGAAACACTGACGTAGTTCATCAAGAAATTCACTTGTCTGTATGGCGTTATTCTGTGCTTTTGTGTGAGCGTGGAGGAGGGGTTTGTGTTCTGGGACAAGTTTAAAAACTGGACTAGGGATATGCCAGTACTTTTGAGAATGCGATATTCATATTGTCAAGGGGAAAGATTGTGATGCAGTTTTCTTTCTATAAGGAGCAGGCACATTAGTTACAATATTTGGAGGTGTTTGGTAATGGGTTTAGAATGGTATGGTTGAACGAAACATCAGAGAAGGCGATGAGTTCATCAGATGAAATTTGTGGTTAAGTGTGGGAATATTACACCTTAGTGATGCGTTAGGGATTTTCAAATGGGAGAGGGATGTGGCTGAAGGATGAAGGGGGTTGCTGAGCTAAGATGTTAGCTCCACAATAGGTGTCTGGGATTCATATTTCGCCCCTGCTTTATGCCGCCTGCCGAGGGTTAACCACATTTTCTGTATGGGCAGATAGGAAGGAAATAGGTTCGGGGCGAAGGTATCAGTCACAGTGGGGAGTGCATAAACTCTCTGCTTCCCTTTTTTTGCTCTGTTCGTTTGAGGTTTTCCATCGGAACCTTAAAAAGTGTAAAGCCTGGGATTATCATTCTGTAGCATGACAGTGCCAGGCCTCACACTTGGCTGTGCTGTGCAGTGCAGCTGTTCAAGGCCTTATGTTGTCATGCTGCAGAATGGAAATGCTAGGATTCACAGGGCTGCACTCGAAAAGGAAATTTGCATGCCTAGAGCTTGAAATTATTACCCAACAGCCTTAATTAGCTCCTTGTTTTTTTACTGTAGTAATGTTCAATATGACTCGAAATTATTTTAACACTGGAAGCAAGGAGTCTCCCTAAAGAATGCAGATGAATTTCATTTGTAAAAATACTAACATCCCACGCAATGGGAAATTTAGTCATCCCGCTTGAATCCACTGTCCTCCCTCCACGTCGGTTCCCACCATAATCTCGCCATTCCCGAAGAAGAAATAGCTGCGTGGTTCATGCCCATCGCGTGGACACTTTCTCACAATGGTGTTTTCCACTTCCTCGCGTTCGTTTCTTCGTTTCCATTTTTCAGAGAAGGGAAACGTGTCTCCTTGATCTTCTCCGTCGAGGATATCTCCAGGAATCTGGAAATTGCATCTCAGATTCCATGACTGCCTCCAGTCGGGCAGACGTGGTCGTGTGCTCCATCGCTCCTCTTACGTGATTCTCGTTTCTCTTTTTTTTTGTCCTGGCAACAAATTAAAGCCATTTCTTGAAGTCGTCTGCTTCATTCGCACGTCGCACGATAACCTGTAGGAATGCATGACGAAGCCTGACCGAGCCAACGCAATGGAGGCTGGTATGTCGACAGAAGAGAAAGAATCGTGTCATGATCAGAGCTGTACCGAGGATATTTGGCGCCCTGTGCGAGATATCCCAGCAGCAGCCCCCCCCCCCTCTCCCATACCTCTCCAGCTTCCCCAGCACCTACAATTCATTACATATTCATTTCTCTGTTTAATTTAGTCAAATTCAGGATTATTTGCAATTTTTAAAGTTTTATTCATATTTTGTAATAATTCGGCAGCCAATCGGCGCCCTGTGTGGGGGCACCACTCGCACACCTCTAGTTACGGCACTGCTAATATCTAAGAGAAGTGTGTATGTAGAGATGGCTAACTATTCCCGAAAGAGGAATCTTTGTATTTCCCAAGACAATAGCGTGCCCAGAAAATCTCGATGGAGGGGGTTTGGCACGAAAAATTGTTAACCCAACTTGCATATATGACCAAATAAGTAAATAAGAATTTGAGAATCGAGCCTGAATGCACAAACCTCATTTAGGGGAGATAAAAGGGGCCTTTATCACTTTCTAGGCGTATGATGCTGAATGGCGTTATTTCTAAAACATCTCCAGAATCATGTAGTGAGGAGAATTAGTACAATTCTGTAGCCAACAGATAGCGTTTGAAGCACTCTTTCGAATGTGCATTGAAGTTGTTTCACTAGTTGAGCATATACATACAGGGTGTCTCAAAAAATGTATACACACTTTAATTTTAAGATATATGTTAAGTAATTCAGAGAGGTACAATGTTCAGTGGGTGGAGAAGCAAGGGTTTGAATAGCATGGTTCATTACCACAGATGTTCAAATTGTTCACCGTTAGCATCCAGGCACTGTTGACAGCAGTGAGCAATAGTGCAAGAAACTTGTGGACAGGTTTCTGCTGGGGAGTCCTGCAGCACAGGACTCCTCGATTTCAGGCGATCGTGTGAATGCTTGCATTGCAACAGCAGCATTTTCCCCACCTGTTGATGTGGGAGGTTTGTCAGAACATCGTGCATTACCGTAATAGCAATGTTCTGGGAGACCATGCACTGTACCATCATCAAACTTACGAATCCTTGAAAGTTCTAGTGCATCATGGTGGCATGGTTGCAAGTTCTCCACCTTCTTTGCGCTTCACGTGTGTTCTCAGATTTCCGGAATCGCTCTCGATTCAAGTGTGTATGCATTTTTTTGAGACACCCTGTATTTGTGAACGTGATCGTGGCAACACGTGCAGCATGGAGTCTTGGCACCGCCCAAAACGGCCAGCTTCCTTCCGGCACTGTCGTTTCACGGATCCATAGTTGGACGAAAAGAGAAAACGAGAGAGAGGCGTCTCGTGGCAGCGTAGACAAGGTTGCCGACCGATCCCGAGGAATGCTGCATCTCGCATCCCACAGGATTTACTCTCCTCCCATGCCCCGACTGTTTACAGGGTGGGCCACAAATGTTCATACCGTGTCTACCTTTTCTATTTATGCACACTTGCAAATAGCAGAGAAAAAATTGTCGTACGCCCCCGTGTGAGAGTCTCTTCGGTGGTCGACCTTGGCTATTTTAACACGAAACCTCTTCTGCCTCGAAATCACTTCAGGTTCAAACATAGTCCGGCCAACCATGAGGCAGAAATGATGAAAGAATACGAATGACACTCATACGACTCTGACCGTAACCAAACGGATTACTGTATGCCAGTGGTGGCCCGCGAGGCTCGTACCCTCGATCCCCTCAGGTTTCCTTAAAATAGTCTCCTACAATACTAGTGAAATAATATGGCCCACGATGGCTGTGGTCGTGAGCGATGTGGTCCCCTAGCCGGAAAGGTTGGGCACTACTGCTGTATGCTGATGTCTGCTGGAAGTGCGTGCCCATGAACGAAATGCAGGAACCCGAACCAGTTGAGATTCGTGCCGAAAGGGGAGTGAAACTCCGTCTGGTGCGATCGACTGACAGACTCGGAAGATTCCCGGGTTGTCGTGGAGAAGAACGGAGACGCGTCGAACGTATGTCGTGAATCGTTACTGTGAGTCCTTGAGATTCCATCGATTCCACGAGAAGTCATTAGTACAGGAAATACAAGACTCGGATTTAGTGTGAATATGGCGCACCCTCTATGCAGGCCGTCGACGTAAGAATGACAGCGTCGGCTTCCCGAAAATGTGGATGGCTACGATATATAGCGAAGGGAGGTAACCCCGGTGTCACGGTGGCCAGTGAAACGACTATCTGCAACTGAGTCCCTTCTAAGGGTTTTCTTTTCGGTCTGGAAGCAAGTAACTTGAGAGAATCCCAAACCCTCTCACTATGTTTTTCCGCCGAAGTGCACGTTTTGCCACCTCGGCTCACTTGCGTTGAATCACCTGCACCCACCCGTGTGGCATCGACTCGTTTCCGGTCAGATTCGGCCTTTAAAGGAAGAACAACGCTCGAGTGGAATCCACAGTGATGCCAAAACGTTCCTTCCCACAACTCTCTCTAAAAGGACCGTTAGGTAGCGGAGTTTCGATGAGGTTCGTGCATTCCAAGACGAAGAGGCATTTAACAAACGGTCTGTTTTCTCCTTAAAGGACCGCTAACAAAGGAGGTTTCCGCATTCGGCATGTCGTTTAGAATGGACTCGCCTCCTCTTCTGACTCGCCTCGTGCACGTCTCGGCCTCGCTCCGCGCAACTAGGGTAAAAGACCCAGTGATGGGCCACAGGACATAAAAATTCCAATAGCTAGGCTTCCATAGCAAGCCTACCCATGTTGTGACATATGCTAGCAGCATTCGAGCACATGGACACTTCAGAGGTGTTCATGGAACAAATGCCTAGTTTTTGGAATTTTCCTGCGAAGTGGCCCATCACTTAGTACCCGCCATTAACAGGCCCATCACTGGGTCTTTTACCCTATAGGAAAAGACTCTCGGCTGGAGTGGGAAGAAGAAAAGCCAGCGAGCGCTTGCCTCGAGTGTTGCAATGGGAACCGTAAAACAGGATCGTCGGAGAGTGAAGGAATCGCGGGCAGACCCCGTTTTCCCCGAGCGATTCCTCGTCCATCGTTCTGCGGAGTCTCGTGCATCCGCCCCTGGCCTCCCAATACTCCTCGAGGAGGAGGGAAACGGTCTCCGGACCGGGACGCATCACACGAACGACCGAGCTTTCACCTGGTTCGAGTGCATCGCTTTTCATTTTCCAACATCTTCCTCAGATGTTTTTTCCGTCGATGAAAATTTCTGAAAACGACAAAACCCCACGATTCTACGAAGACGGAGCATCCATCCAGTGCGTTGGCGGCTCTCGACGCATCTGCTACTACTAAGCGTGACTTACCCGCGAAAAAAAATGAATTACTCCTTTTGGGATGGTCTTCCAGCTGATGCGAATGTCCGCATCTCAGATCGTGCGAAGAGACGAGAATGAGATCGACGCATCCACTTCGAGTAGATTCATGAGACGGAGGAGGCACAAAAAAAATGAACGAGAATCATTCCTTAACTTGGATTCGATCCTGAGCCTTGCGAACGAGACACGAACGCTTTCCCTCTCGGCCACGGACGGACGAGACCCGGCAGGAGGAAAATGCTTCGTTTTTCAGTGTAATGGGAGAGATGGACGAGTCCATGCATCATCGAGGGGAAGTCGGATTTCTCATGCCTCAAGGTCAAACGAAGGTGAATCGGCTGGGATCCGTGACGCTGCAGGGGTTCCTGTCAAAAGCTAAAATCTCGCCTCCTGCTGCTTTTTCCAAACCGGTAAAAAAGTGAGTTCAAGGTCGAATTCCGTGACGTCATCCCCCTGCTGACCTTCCCCTTGCCATTCCGCTCCGTGGACTCTCCCACCACCCGACCACCCCCCGAATCCGCGATGAACTCGTCCGTCTGGAAAACCTCTATCGTTTCCCCGTTGTTGAGATGACCTTTGATGAAGAGGTTTCGCCAATCGCGGATTATAACCGTATCTGCTCTCCTCTCCTGCATCTCTGTACAAGTCGATTCCTTCGGTTCTTGCCACACTTTTCAAGACAAAAGGGAATCAGTCTCTTTGAGGCTGAGAGTTGGGAACCGTTCGATCACCTTCACATAATTGTATTCCTGCCGTGTCTCCGTCACCTCGACTCGCGAATGGTTCATTCACTCTCAATGAGGGCAGATTTCGACAAACCATTTCTTGCCTTTTTAACCCTCATCAACGTCAATCGACTGGAGAAATGATTAACTGCAGACAATGTAATTAATGAATGTAAATTTTATTTCCCATTCAGTACTGAAAACGAGACACAAAAGAAACTTGAAAGGCTTGTGCGCAAGGGATGAGTGCAAATGGATCAGCCAGGGACTCGACCCTTCGCGATCGAGGATTCTTCGAAGAGGACCAGATCCACCGACCGGTTCTCCACGATACCTGGGAAATGCAGCAATCAAATGATGTTCAGGAACCTTCAATCCAGAACTTTACACATGTACCACTGATTCTCTGGATCGACACTGCATCACGTGTACTTGAAACGGCCATGTGAGCACATCTTCAGCGCATGACTTAAAGCGACTGAGTAATTGGAGGAATTTTTCCCTTCAGAGCTTTTCTTTCGTATCTTTACTCATGCTCACCCAAGAAGTCACTCCGGTTTCGTCCATTTTGCTCCAGTACTGGAAACATGCGACCATTGAAGATCACAGCTACCGGATGTACAGACCGATCCATGACACAAACTACCTCCTGTTCTACCAGCGCCTTTTTTGGAGTCTCAATACCTTATTTTGAACAGGGAACATTATAATGTATTCATTCAGAACAAAAAAGCTAAACGTAAACAATGAATCCCGACAATTGGGGGCATCGATAGACATGCTCTCGAGTAGCAACAACAAAAAAAGAAAAGTAACTGGAAAGCCTTGAGGGAGAATTGTGTG